CTTCCCCCCCCCCCCCCCCCCCAACCCAACAAAAAATATAGCATGTCATGATTGTTGATGCTATCTACATTCGATCAGTCGCTTCTCTGAGATAGATATTTCTGAATTACTCTGTTAAAGCTCAATAAAGTTAGATTTGAAGTTCTTTCCTTCCTTGAATAATTTAAGTTCTAGACTTCTAGTGAGTTGACCGTCAGATTTTTATTGCATGACATGTGCCATTTTTGGATTATGTGTAAGTATGTATGTATGTATGTTATTTTCTCAAACTTTTTTCGCGTTCATTTGGCATATCATCAAATGAAAGAATTAAATGCAAGAGCTGTTCATGGTCCTGGGCCCATGAATACGGTAAGACCCTTTAAGAAGATGAACGAAGATAGGACAGAAAGATATGATGAAATAGGAATCTCCATGCCCCAGTAGCTGGTGGGGGTGATTATTATTTTATGGGGTGTCCTTATCTATCTCGCATCAGGCGAGTTAAATTCAAATTTCTTTGATCACTACTGTCGGTAAATGTGGTGCAAAAGATCTAGTTTCATTTCTTGAATGATGTTCTATGGTGTCTTGATACAACTTGTGTGATGTTAGGCTGTACAAACGAACTCGACAAACGCTAGGATGATATTACTTTTCAATTGATGATGCTGTGTTAGTACTATTTGTTAGCTTCTTCTAACAGCTATCTTTAGAGATAAGATTTGCACTGTAAATGGCATGTAGATTGCAGATAGTTTTCTTGCCTTCAGGTGGCTCTTAATGGGCGATTCTGTTTGTTGTGTAACTGGGAAATCATTTTATTACTATATGTGATACCGAAGTTCTAGGAGATATCTATATATGAGATGATTTTTCTGTCAATCTGATCTATGAACTCTAGATATTATTAAGTATTGGCCTGGCAGAGGAGACACAATAATGGGCTTTGCAGCATCAAAGGAGGTAAGCATATGAAGTTTAATCTTCTTTTTCTTCAATTCCACTGATGATATTTATACCATATCTCGCCCTTGAAAGTTTCTTTGCGTTGTGCAATTTGTGATACTTAAATCTTCCCGTTTCTCTGCATTTTTCTCTATGTAGATGACATGGTAAGCATGCATTTCCAACAATGAAGGTTCTGAACCGACTATTTTGGAGAATCCAGTTTGTATGTATTCCCTTTGTGGTTCATTGAAGTTTGATATTAATATTATAACCATATTCCTTCAAGGACCCTGTATGAATCTATGCAAGGAAGTGGGCGGATAAGCTTGTTGATTCCATCTTTGCAGAATAGAATGAATGGCAGAGACGGCAAGCACAAGTGGCTGGATGAGTTTGTTGACATTCACAGAATAGAACGGATGGCGCACGGCAGACTACAGAACATTTGCACGATTGATGGCAGTCTTTTTACCCCTTGGATGTGTTGAGGATCGTAGGGAGAGGAGTCCCACATCAGCTCATTAAGAAGTTCATAATAGATTTATAAGTAAGGAATACATCTTTATTGGTATGAGGCGTTTTGAGGAAACCAAAAGTAAAGCCATGAGAGCTTACGCTCAAAGTGGGTAATATCATACCATTATGAAGAGTTCGTGATTCCAAACATGGTATTAGAGTCATGCCCTTAACTTAGCTCGGTCAATAAAATTCTCAAGTATCGAACTAAGAAGTTGTGAGTCTCGAAGGTGTAGTCAAAAGTGTCAAGTGTCGAACAAATGGTGTACTTTGTTCGAGAACTCTAGAAAAAGAGTCGATCCTCGATTAAGGGGAGACTGTTTGAGGGCTCTGTACGCCTCAAGGGAGGCTCTATGGTGTACTTTGTTTGAAGGGAGGATTGTTGGGAGAGGAGTTTGGTTGATAAGTAAAGAATACATCTTCATCGGTATGAGGCCTTTTGGGGAAACCAAAAGTAAATCCACTTGAGCTTATGTTCAAAGTTGACAATATCATACCATTATGAAGAGTCCGTGATTCCTAACAAGAGGGTCATTCTATGGAAGCAAATTCTGTTAATTCAAATGGTAACTTCCATCAACTGATACTGCCATCTTTGAGGAATATTATATATTTTCCCCCTTGTGACAGGTGAATTGATCCGATTCTGTTCTTACTTCTGATTTTGATTAATTTGCTGTAAATATGTTAAATCTAAGCTTTGTGTCTGTATCTCCAATGCTGAAGCAGAGAAATGTTGAGGAACCTACTTGACCGTGGACACGAGAAGTATCCGGTCCCATATCGAGAAATTCTGTAAGTTTCTTTAGCAGTTTCCTTCCATCAATTTAGGAACAATAGTTCCTGTTTTAGAATGTTGTAGCTTTGGCGATAGCAATAGTTGGTGTTCATAAAAGGTAGCCATATTCTGATACAACTTGCCAAAAAGAATATAGAATAGTAGTGGAAAATTTTGGTATTCATATCTAAGTTATGCTATTCTCTGGAAAGTCAAGATTTATCTGTTTAGTTGATGAATACAAAACGACTTTTAGCTACTTGAATTGAAAACTCTTTGATTACTGTAAAAAGAAAACAAACAGACTAGTGGGATTCCTTTATTGGTCAAATTTAACAACAAACCGATTGAACAAAACCAGAATGGAGGAAGGGAGAATCACATCTGCAAAGAAGCAGAATAGATTCTCTGTTGGAGAAGAAGTTCTTTGGAGCGGTCAAGAAAAAGTCAATATTCTACGGTGAGATTTCACATTGGTTAGAGGGGAGAATGAATCATTCGAAAAGGAGAACGAATCATTTCTTATAAGGATGTGGAAACCTTTTTCTAGTACACGCATTTTAAAAATCGTGAGGTTGATGACGATACGTAATGGGCTAAAGCGGACAATGTCGGCTAGCGGGGGGCTTAGGCTGTTACAAATGATATCAGTGCTAGACACTGGGCGGTGTACCAACGAAGATGTTGAGGCCTCAAGGGGGGTGGATTGTGAGATCCCACATCGGTTAGAGAGGGGAACGAATTATTCATTATAAGGGTGTGGAAATCTCTTCTTAGTAGACGCATTTTAAAAACCGTGAGGCTGACGACCATAGGTAACGGGCCAAAGAGAACAATATCTGCTAACGGTGGGCTTGAACTGTTATAAATAGTATCAGAGCCAGACACCAGGCGGTGTCCAGCAAGGATGCTAAGCCCCAAGAGGGGTGGATTGTTAGATCTCACATCAATTGGAGAGGGGAACAAAGCATTGCTTAGAAGGATGTGAAAATCTCTCCTTGATAGACGCATTTTAAAAATCGTGAGATTGATAGGGATATGTAACGTGTCAGAACAGACAATATTTGCTGGCGGTGGGCTTGGGGTCTTACAAATTGTATCAAAGCTAGGCATCGGGCGGTGTGTCAGCGAAGACGTTGAACCCCCAAAGTGGTAGATTGTGAGATCCTACATCGGTTGGAGCGGGGAATGAAGTATTCCTTATAAGGGTGTGAAAATCTCTCCCTAGTAGAAGCGTTTTAAAAACTGTGAGACTGTTGGGGATACGTAACGAACCAAAGCAGACAATATCTGTTAGCGGTGAGGTTGGTCTATTACATTCTAATTTCATGGTGAACGACCATAAATGTGATTCGGAGTTAGGCCTAGAATATTTAGGAGAAAAAAAAAGTAACATGAAGATGATATCATAAGTTTGAACCTTTTCTAACTTTCTTAATTAATACTCTTCTCAACACAAAAATTAAAAGAAGAATTATGGTATGAAGATTTGAATCCTCCTCCATCCCAATTTTTTATGCCAAAGAATGGCATAGTCTAACCTTTTAGGACAATAGTTCCCACATGCTAAGGATGCTCATCCAGCCATACTTATTCCTTTCTCTCTACTAATAAAGAATATATTTTCAATTGTAGCAAAATTTTTAAAATTTGATTCTCCTTTTTTTTGAATTATACCAATTTTACCCTCATGGGTGTGTAGCAACATATTACGTATAGTTTATATTTTGTATATCTGATTCACGATAAGTTAACTGATATTTCCATTAGTGTAACAATACTCATTTAAAACTCATTTCCAAGTAATGTATCAATAGTAGTCTATGCTTGCTTAGGATATGGAATTCGGATTCAACACTTGATGGCCTGCATCTCTTGCGATATGGTCACTCCTCGTTTCTAAAAGTGAAGACTATCCCTACAAACCAACTCGAGTTCTTTCAGCATGGTTAGTCTTTACTCACATGCATTTTAGGAAAATTCCTAAGAGGTCAACAAATATAAAATTTCTCTAAACGAAGCACGCTTAATCATGAAATTTCTATGATTGAGTTACCAAAAAAGAAGATACACCCTATTGATATAAGTAGTGACTTTCAATTCTTCTCAGCATTTCTTAGTCATTATATCTTCAGGATCGCTCTCGTTTAGATGTGGTTTCAGTTCATTTATATACCCCTCATTTATTCGGCTGTCACACGAATACTAATATCATTGTTATGTTTATATGAATTATGAGCGAGTGTTAGTAAAGTATTGATACGTTATAATATTCTTGAAATTGTATGCTTGAATGAATGTTGATGTACATTAATGATATACTTGGATTACATTTTGAATCTATATTGATGTATTATTGATACATCAATGTTATACTTAAAACT